GGGAGAGTGAGTGTGCATGTGTGAGGGAGAGTGAGTGTGCATGTGTGAGGGAGAGAGTGAGTGTGCGTGTGTGAGGGAGAGTGAGTGAGGGTGCGTGTGTGAGGGAGAGAGTGAGTGTGCGTGTGTGAGGGAGAGTGAGTGAGTGAGCGTGTGTCTGGGAGAGTGAGTGTGTGTGTGTGAGGGAGAGTGTGTGTGAGGGAGAGTGTGTGTGTATGTGAGGGAGAGTGAGTGTGTGTGTGTGTGTGAGTGTGTGTGTGTGTGTGGATAATTCACGGAGCAAGTGCCATCAGCCAACAGCCTCAGTCCAGATGCTGCCAAAACTTAACTGTGGAAATGCCGATGCCGTTGGTCCTCAGCATTCAAAGATGTGGCACTTTCCACACATCCCTGAGAGATCAGCTATCGTACAACTCAAAGAAGTGCATTTTGTTTCAGGGAGCTTATGAAATGTGGAATGTTTGCTTTTGAGCAAAGAAGAGGGTATGCCGTTTCTCCAGAATGGCTGGTTTTCTCAGAATACATGGTGCTATCAGAATGCATGTGGCTATAAAAGCTTTCCTTCAGAACCCACAAAGCCACTGAAAGAGCTGCCTCATTTCTTGATAGCCAGTGATTGCTTGGCTCATGGATGCTGATCTCATTGCATTTGTGCCACTTATTTACAGACTGAATGTTGTAGTTTAAGAGGCCTGCCCCACTCTTGCTTGAGCTGGTACTCATTTTTCTTGCGCCAGTTGAGTCTGTGTATTTAGGACAGAGATGAGGAGGAATTTCTTCTCCCAGAAGGTGGTGAATCTGTGGAATTGTTCACCACAGACAGTTGTCTCGGCTGGGTCCTTAAGTACCTTTTCAGGTTGGGATAGACAGATTTCTAATCAGGAAGGGAATCAAGAATTAGGAGATAATGGCAGGAAAAACGGAGTTGAGAAATATCAGATCAACTATGATCTCATGGAATGGTGGAGCAGATGGGCTGAATGGCCTGCTTCTGCCCTTAGGTCTTTTGGTTTTCTTACCTGGTAGATTGTTGAGAAGACCTACCAGGATGCTGAGAAGCCACTTCAGGTGCTTGGACTAGTCCAAAAAGGTCCTCCAGAGAGGTTCGCAAGGATTCTTATCGAACTGCTCCTCATACAACCAATCCAACTATTCCAAAAGAAAATGTCTGGATCACAAGGATGTGCTAATATAGAGTATAGTGTGTGCAGTTCAGGCCATGGAGGGAGTGAAACAAAGGTTTACCAGACTGGTTCCCGGGATGACAGGACTGGTGTATGAAAGGAGGTTGGATCAGTTAGGACTATATTCACTACTGTTTAGCAGAATGGTTTTGGATCTCTATCTTCAGAATTCTTTATGTGCTGGAAAAATGGCAGTGTGAGAATCCTATGCCACCCTTTGATGCCTTTGCCAAACCCCAAAGACACTTCACTGCGTTTTGTCTGACACCGAAGATCTCAAGAGCTGAGGCCCAAAACTCCGTGATGTTGGGCTTCTTGGGTCTGCCTTTGATGGCAGCGGGTGGACCAGAATCGCTTGGATATCCCAGTTAACAGACACTTAACAATCTAAGCTAGTGTCTGAGATCTGTAATAAAAGGAAATGTAAATGGTAATAAATGATATTGCAGCAAACTTTTTATTAACTGGCCCCCATGGGATCAGGAGTGTGCCGGTTAATCAAATATTCTGGTTGATCAAGAGGTCCACATAATCAGTGTAAAAACACACAATTATGTGATAGAAACGTAATGCAGGGGGGTATACACATCACTGATGTATAATTAATGCAAGTTTGCCTTAAATAAAACTTAGTGGCAGAGAACCTTCTAAGTCACACCCTCAACTGACTACTCAGACATCATGGAGATCACGATAATAATTCTGGTATTTGAAGTATATGATTTTTGCTGGTTTATTGAGAGTGCCAGTTCATAAGGATGCTGCTGGAGAGTTTGAATTATAAGGAGATGATGGCTAGGCTGGCACTTTTTTTCACTGGAGCGTAGGAGGTTGAGGACTGACCTTATAGAGGTTTATAAAATCATGAGGGGCATAGATAAGGTAAGTAACAAAGGTTGTTTCCTTAGGTGGGGGAGTTGATAACTTGGGGGCATATTTTTAAGGTGAGAGGCAAAAGATTTAAAAGGGACCCTCACACAGAGGGTGGTTCATTTGTGGAATATAAACTGCTGGAGGAAGAAGTGGATGCAGGAATATGGATAGGCAAGGCTTAGAGGGATATGGGCCAAACAGGGGCAAATAGGACTAGTTTAGTTTGGGGAAACTTGGTCAGCATGGACTGGTTGGACCGAAGGGTCTGTTTCCGTGCTGTACGACTCTGGGACACTGTGATTGAGTTTAAGACACTACTATGAAGAATACCTGTAGAGATATCCAGGTCTGAGGTGATTCTGTTCTCTAAACATGCTAATAGGCTCATTTTGTCACTGTTAGGCAGATAAATTCTCCCACTATGGCAAAATTCAGGCCTTTCTACAACTGAAGTTAATGACAGGTATATGTAAGATAAAAGGTCTATAATTTTCACACACATTGATATCATTTATTTTAGAGCTTGGATTTTGAACTAGTGGGCATGTGGGTTATTGTCTATGTGAATGAGGGATTTTAACTTGTCAACATTTCTGGAACCTTGAATTTTAAAAAAAATGAATATGACAGAAAGATTGTGGGGATTTGTTTCATTGGGACAGTGGACAGAATAAACATTGAAGAGCATTAGCTTGGTTTTAGTCAGAAGGATCAGGAATTGCCTTTTTTGTTGCTTGGGGGGGAGGGGGGAATAGCTTAGAAAGCCTTCGTTTTCAATTACCAGAGACCTGGTTGGGCTTGATGTAAAAACAAAACTCTTCCTAAAGAAAGGTGATAATTCAGAAAATAGAGTCATAGAGCACGGAAACAGACTCTTTGGTCCAACCTGTCTGTGCCAACCATGTTCCCAAACTGAACTAGTCCCACCTCAGTGTAAGGATGTAGTTTCAAAATTCCAGACCAGAAGTGTTTGCTTAGAACCCTGAAGGGTTTATTCGAGGCTAAGAAAGTCTAAGCTCAGTTGTGTGAATGATCAAGGAAGTGGCTATCAAACTCTCAGACAAAACCACAGTTTTGAGAGAGAAGGGAATTGTCTCTGCTGTGTGAATTCTGTAAAGTGATGGGTGTGTTGGGTTAGATGGTACTTACTGAATGATTCATAGATCATAGAATCCCTACAGTGCAGAAACAGGCCCTTCAGCCCAACAACTCCACACTGACCTTTGGAGCATCCCACCCAGACCCATCTCCCCAATAACCCACCTAAGCTACACATCCCTGAACACTATGGGCAATTTAGCATGGCCAATCCACCTAACCTGCACATCTTTGGACTGAGGGAGGGAACCAGAACACCCGGAGGAAACCCACGCAGCCGAAGGGAGAACGTGCAAACTCCACACAGACAGTTGCCCAAGGGTGGAATTGAACACGGGTCCCTGGCGCTGTGAGGCAGCAGTGCTAACCACTGAGCCACCGTGCCACCCCAAAGTCTTTCAAATTCTGTCATATGTAATTACCTTGTTTTTTTTTTACTATTTTATCTTTTATTTTGCATAGTAAACTTTTGTTTTAATGTTAAAACACAATCTGTATCATTGTGTACTTGGGTTTGAGTGATAGACCACCTCATAAAATTTTTAAAAATCTGTCAAGTCAGATTAGAATGTCGGGTAACACCATCAACTGAAATCATAATAGTGCCATTCAGGGAAATAGTTAGCCAGTGACAGAGATACCAGTCTGGAATTCCTTTCTGCCAAGCTACAAGACATTGGAATATTGAGAGCACTTTCTGAGATCAGATTGGGTCAGCGAACTATAAATTCACAAACTCCAGAAATGGATGCGGCCACTAAGGATTTTCCATCCTGAGTTCCAGAAAGTGCGTAATTACTAGCCTTTCTCAAATGTACCCACAATCAATAACCTTTCATACTCCTGTACATAACATGGAAACTACACTGTAATTTTCTTTTCAAAATTCTTCACTTTTAACAGTTTTATCATTATGCATTTAGGATATAATGCTGCAACTGTTTAGAGGCCTGGATTTCCTCCATGCAAACCGTGTGGTGCATCGAGATTTGAAGCCACAAAACATCCTGGTTTCAAACAGTGGCCAGGTGAAGTTAGCAGACTTTGGTCTGGCTCGAGTATACAGTTTCAACATGGCACTGACTCCTGTGGTGAGTTCTTTCCGAAATATACTGACCCCTGTTTCCCTTGACAGCTTGGTGGTACCTTGGTGTGTTGAGGCAGCAATGATTTCATGTAAACAGAGCCTTTTCAAGGAAAATGTTCCAGGATCAGCCTTGATCTCCAAACCATGAAATGGACACACTGAGGTTGGATTCAATGCAGCCCATCAAGGTTGGAAGCAAACTGACTAGGGCCACTTAATCACAGAAGAGCCCTGTCTCAGTCTCCCACTCGTAGCAAAACCTCCCCTGTTCAAGGTGGAAGGGCCCAGTAGCCAATTCAATTCACTCCACGTGATATCAAGGAACAGTTGGAGATGCTGGATACTGCAAAGTCTGTGGTCCCTGACAACATTCCGACAATAGTACTGAGGACTGGTGTTCCAGAACTTGCTGCTCCCCTCGCCAAGCTGTTCCAGTACAGCTACAATGCTGTCGTCTCCCGAACAATGTGGAAAATTGCCCAGGTGTGTCCCATGCACAAAAAGCAGGACCAATCCAATCCAGCCAATTATCTCTGTTATCAGTCTACTCTCGATCATTAGCAAATTGACAGAAGGTGTCATCAACAATGCTCTGAAGCAGAACTTGCTTAGCAATAACCTGCTCACAAATGCTCAGTTACGGTTCTGTCAGGGTCACTTAGCTCCTGACCTCATTACAGCCTTGGTTCAAGTATGGATAAAAGAGGTGAATATGAGAGGTGAGGTGAGAGTGATTGCCTTGACATCAGGCTGCATTTGACTGTGGCATCAAAGAACCCTAGAAAAACTAGTCCTTTGGAATCAATGGGTGGAGTGGGGAGAATCCACTGGTCAGTGTCCAGTTGTAACAAGAGCAGGCCAGAGGCTAGGAATAGTCCAGTGAATAACTCTCCTCCTGACTCCCCAGAGACTGCCCACCATCTAGAAGACACAAGTCAGGAGTGTGATGGAATAGTCCCCAGTTGCCTGGATGAGTTCAGTTCCAACAACTCTCAAGCTTGACTCCATCCAGGACAAAGCCACCTGCATGATTGGCACCACATCCACAAAATTCATCTCTGTTCCGCCAACATTTAGTAACAGCAGTGTATACCATCTACGCGATGCAATGAAGTTATTCACTAAGGCTCCTTAGCAAGTTCCAAACCCACCACGACCTGCCTGTAAAAGGACATGTGTAGGAGATACATGAAAACACCACAACCTGCAAGTTCCCCTCCAAGCCACGCACATCCTGACTTGGAAATATATTGCCATTCTTTCACTGTCACTGGGTCAAAATCCTGGAACTCCCTCCCTAAGGGCTTTGTGTGTGTACCTACAGCATGTGGATTGCAGCGGTTCAAGAAGGCAGCTCAGCATCACCTTGTCAAGGGTAGCTAGAGATGGGTAGTAAATGGGTAGTAAACATTTAAAAAAAAAAGTTCCAAGTCAGGATAGTGTATAGATTGGGAAATTGTGACTGGAGTTTCACTGTAGACAAGGCTAGACTATTGCAGAAGTACTTCCCTGGATAATTCACCCTTTCTTGACAAGAGAAATGTATAGCAACATCACAAGTTCAATACATTATAGATAAGTGACCAATAGTAGACCATGAAAGGGTAAAACAGACAGTGGACCCAGTACTTGTCACTTCAGCACTTGCAGATCTGTCAGTTGGTGAGAAAGAACTTCCGAAATGTCCAAAAAAACATGCTTCAATTAGAATAAATCCGCGTTCTGCATTAAGTCCAGGAGACTTTATTTCCTGATGCTCCCTGCCATATATTTTTGCACAGTACACACAGAGGCGTATAACAGACTCACAAGAAGCAGGCGTACAGCAGCGATTCACTTCATGCTGAGTTCATAGACTTAAGTGGGTCTTTAGGGATGTAGTGAAAGGAAGTAATGGATTTATTCGATGGGAAAGGTAAAAATAACCAGAAAATACATTTCCTGTGTTTATTAAAGTTTAATGCAAAAACGGAATATAGCCAACAAAAAAATTCCTCCTGTTCTTAAAATCACATTTGAGGCTTTACTGATGCATTTGTGCATTCTTAAAATTAGCTCCTCTAAAGAAGCACACTACTTGGCTTATCAGGCGTGAAACTGTTTGATTTAATCATATTGATTAAATTTGCATTTGAGAATCTTTATTATAATATAGGTGGAGCCCTCTCTTGTCTTTGAAGCAGATTCCTCCATTTTTTAAATGTGGGAATGAAAATACCTAGTCACGGAAACAGACCCTTCGGTCCAACCAGTCCATGCTGAACATTATCCCAAACCAAACTAGTCCCGCCTGCCTGTTCCTGGCCCGTATCCCTCCAAACTTTTCCTATTCATATATCCATCCAAATGTCTGTTAAATGTTGTAATTGTACCCGCATCCACTCCTCCACTTCATCAGGAAGTTCATTCCACATGCGAACCACCCTCTGTGTAAAAAAATTTGCCATTTATGTCTTTGTATTTTCAACTAGCTTCCCCCTTCTGCCAGCACCCCATCGCCCCAGATCCATTCCTGCCCTGATATCCAGTGGTTTTGTTTTGCTTACCAGAGCTTAAAATCTGTTTTGAAGAGAAGTTGTTTGAGCTGATCTCTCTCTTGTTCAGGTTGTTACTCTGTGGTACAGAGCACCCGAAGTGCTTTTGTATTCCCGATACACAGCAGCTGTTGACATTTGGAGTGTTGGCTGCATATTTGCTGAAATGCTTCAACTCAGGTAAAATATCAGTTAGCTTACTGATGATAAATGCAGGGATTTAGTCAGAGATTTGTGTCCATGAGTATTCCCTTTTAAGTCTTTGATGCCTTTAAATTTAATCTGGGGAGTTATTGATTCTTGTAACATTCTAATCGATGTAAAGTTAGCAGTTTATTATTGTAATTCCTAAGTTCTTGCACTGTGCTGGGTCAAATCCATTCCCATAGATTTCTTCCCTAAATGTAGCCCCCTTTCTCTGCCGTACCATAGTTTCATCATGGGTGCCCTGGTTTGTGATGCAGAGTGATGCCAACTGCACATGTTCAGCTCCTGCCCCAGCTGAGATTACTATGGACCACTCTCTTTCTCAAACTCTCTCCTTGCCTGAGGTGTGCTGACCCCTAGGGAAGCCCGTCAGCTTCCTCTCTACTGAGAGAGCACACCTGTCGTCCGATAGGACTATGGCAACCTTATCTTTATAGTTTCATCCTTTGCCGTATTGTGTCCCCATCTTCTGGCATACTGTAAACCCCCTGTAATCCCATTTTCTGCCATATTATTGATCCATTGTGATCTCATTATGGGAGATCTGACCCATTTGCTGCATGTACCATAATTCCAGTCTTTACTGTATTGTACGTGCCCACCTCTCTGCCCTATCTTTTCTGTCTTGTCACCCTGTATTTTTGCCATATCGAACCTCATAATCTTGCTGTTTTGAATAATACAATCTCATGTAGCATTGTTCTCTATCTAGATTCATGTAACACTATGTAAATGCAGTATATTGCCATATAATAAAGACAGTTAACTCTTGTCTCTACCATACAATAATTCCATTATTTAAAACACCATAAACCTGACGGAACCTGGCACTCTATCATATAACCTGGGTTGTGCCACATTGTAACACCATCCTGTATTCCATTATAATTCCATGTAACCTCGTTCTCTGATATGTTGTAGGAAACATTGCAAAGGAGAAAATGTACTGTAGCCCAAAATTTAACTAGCTTTGATTGGAAGGATTTTGTGAAATTAGAATTTGTGTGATAAATTCTTAACTGATATCAGGCTAAGATTGGAGCTCACCCTGCTGTTGCAAAAGGCTGAACTATTTTAATCTTGGTTGCAGTTATAACCATAGAAACCCTACATGTGGAAACAGGCCCTTCAGCCCAACCAGTCCACACTGACCCTCAGAGCATCCCACCCAGACCCACCCCCCTAATCTACACATGCCTGAACACTACAGGCAATTTAGCATGGCCAATCCACCTAGCCTGCACATCTTTGGACTGTGGGAGGAAACTGGAGTACCCACAGGAAACCCGCACAGATACAGGGTAAATGTGCAAACTCCACACAGACAGTTGCCTGAGGGTGGAATTGAACCTGAGTCCCTGGTGCTGTGAGGTAGCAATGCTAACCACTGAGCCACCATGCCACTCCACAGGCAACTTAATCCAAAAACAGATTGAAGCAAAACAACCAGTTTAAAGAATGTGAGTTTCTGATCATTGTTTCACAGAAAAATGTAACAGTCTGCTCTTAACAAGAGGTTGACATTATGTCAGTGAATAGAATTGAAATCTATACAATTAAATACATTCAATATTTTAAAAAAGATTAACTGTCGAGAGGGTAAAAAGGGTGAATGAGACTGAAAGATGAAGCATAGCTAGAGGAAATTACATTACATGGAGGGCATTGAGTGACATGACACTGTGCAGAGCAGTGAAAACGCGACAATTATTCAGGAATTCGATGATGTTGAGATTCAAAGAAAGATGTACTTTAATATCTACAGGGACTGAAGGAGAAGTAAGAAATGTTGCGCATTTAACAGTAAAAGAATCTCATTATTTGACTTTTTTTTTAATTTTAGACCCTTTCTTTGTGGGATTTCAGATATTAATCAACTGCAAAAAATATTTGAGTAAGTATCACACTGATCCACAGATGATTTATTTTGTTAGAACCCAGGGCTCAAACATGATGAGTGCTGATAATAAATTACCCGTGGAGTTCTATCATTTCCCTGCCCATTCAGCGGGTAATACAGTTTGATAGTGATGGTTGCAGTTAACCGGCATAAACCCTCGTGACTAATTTATGAGGTTCGGGGGAAAAGGCTAGGGTTGGAGTCTAAATTGGGCACCTCTTTGAAAGAACCAGCATAGACATAATGCCCTCTTCCGGTACTCTTACTCTGTCACTGCAGTCAGTCTTATTTGAGAAAGAATTTCATTTTTACAGCCTGGCAGCTATTCTAAGTCTAGAATATTAACTTATCTTTACTGTAATGCTGTCAGACTCTCTTGCATATTTCTGACCCCCTACAGTTTATTCCTTGTTATCCCAAGAATACTGTCTATTGCTGTTAATGAGATTTAACCTTTCACTGTGATATGCTGCCATACATATAATTGCACAAAGTTAAATAGCAGGTCAAGAACGGCAGAGGAGAAGAAGATTGGAGTATCAGAAGAAGCTAGTTAGGAACATAAAAACAGATAGTAATGAGCTTCTACAGTTAAATAAAAAGGAAAGTGAGTGTCGGTCCTCTAGAAAGTGAGATGGCGAGTTGAGAGTAGAAAATAAGGAAATGGTAGATGAAATAAATAAGCATTTTGCTTCTGTCTCAGCTTCAGAGTAATTGCTATAAATATTGAAGATGGAGGGGAGAAAGGTACATGGTAAAAAGTGCAGTCACCAGGGAAGTAGTAGTGAATAAACTGCTGTGGCCGGGGGTGGGGGCTAACAGACACTAGGCTTCATCCTGTGCTTTAAAAGAAATGACTAATGGGATACTGTGTGTTAATTTTTCAAGATTCACTAGATTCTGGAAAGGCTCTGTCAGATCTGAAAGTAGCAAATGTAACTATGAAGCCGGTTACCTCGATGGCTGTCATGTGGAAGGGCTTTGGAATCGATTGTTAAGAAGGTTATGTCTGCAATTTAGAAAATCTCAAGGTAATCAGGAAGAGTTGGCATGGTTTCATCAAAGGGGAATCATGTTTAACTAGTTTATTGGGCTCTTTGAAGGAGTAGCATGTGCTGTGGATAAAGGAGACCTGTAGGCATACTGTACTTGGATTTCCAGAAGGCATTTAACAAGATGTCACATAACCAGTTATTACCCACAGTACAAGCTCATAGTGCAGGGGATAATAGATTAGCAAGGATAGAAGATTGGCTGGCTGGCAGAAAACAGAGCACATGCAAAAATGGGTCTTTTTCTGATTGGCAGGATATGACAAGTGGACTCCGTCAAGAGTCTGTGCTGGAGTTCAGCATTTTATAGTGTATTTTAGTTACTTGAATGAGAGGAGTGAAGGCTAAATTTGCAGATGACACAAAGTTAGGTAGGAAAATGTGTTGTGAAGAGGGCACAGATTGCAGACTGATTATGGACAAAGTGAGCGGGCAAAAATCTGGCAGATGGAGTGTAATGTGGGAAAATGTGAAATGGTTCACTTTGGCAAGAAAAATTTAAAAAAGAGCATTACTTAGAGAATATTTGACAAATTCTAAGGTACAGGGGAGTCTGTGTTCTGGTGCATTGTCACAAAAAGTTAGTGTGCGGGTACAGCAAGTGATTAAGAAGGTTAAAGGAATTCTTTCCTTTATTACAAGAGGAATTGAGCATAAAAGTAAGAATCAAACACAAAACACTGAAGAAACTCAGCAGGCCTATTAGTATCTGTGGAGAGAGAAACAGAATTAATGTTTCAACTCTCGTTTAGAACTTTTTGCCTTGGAGGCACTTCATAAGAGGTTTGCTAGATTGGTATCTGGAATTAACACATCGTCGAATGAAATATTATTAGGATGCAGGTAGAAAGACTCTTGTTAGACAAGAGAATCATGGGTCACTGGGCATTGGAGTAAATATGGAATTCGAAATGCAATGTATTGAGCATAGGAGTAGGTCAGCGAGTTTACTTCTGTTTCTAAATTGTATGTTTATGTACCAGAATCTCAAATACCAGCTACTCTCCTCGTGAGGAGGTCCGAGGCTGAGAATTCTGTGTTGAGCAACTCATCTCCTGATTCCTAACATCGGTTTATAAGGAACAAGTCAGTGGTGTAAGACTTGTCTGGAACTTGACTCAATTTAGAATGAAGCAACTTGGTTATTTGGCCACATCGGCTACATTAAAAGTTAACTGTTGCTATTACTAACACACATCTACAGAATGCACAGCGGCACCTCTCCGCGGCTCCTTTGACAGCACCTTCCAAAGTCATGACCTGTACCACCTAGAAGGACAAGGGCAGCAGATACATCAGAACATCACCACCCACAAGTCCCCTCCAAACCTGACTTTGAAATATATTGCCATTCCTTCACTGTCGCTGAATCAAAATCCTGGAACAGTGAGTGTTAGTCCACTTCAAGGGCTGCAGTGTTACAAGAAGGCAGCTCACTACCGCCTTCTCATGGGCAATTAGAGATGGATAATAAGTGCTAGTCAACAGCAATCACATCCCATCAACCACCTTCTCTGAGACTATTAGGAATACACAAAAATTAGTCCCCTCCTTCGTAGGGCTTGTTCCATAAGCAAATATAAAAAAATACTTGGCCCGGAACGGACACTTTAACCACCCCAGTCCCCTGCACCACAAATCACAAGAATTTCTGATTGGACCGAATATGAAACAGGTGAATCCACATTTCTGCTGATGCTCACATCGACTGACAATAAAGGTGCAACTTAAATAAAGCCCACGCTGCTTTCCTTGGAAAAGAACGTTCAGAGGAGATTTGATAGAGGACAAAGGGCGCGTGGGTACAAATCAATTGACAGAAGAAGCCAAATTGACGCACAGAAAGCTATATTCATACAGCAGGAAGTAAGGTGTGAAATACATTGCGTGAGAGTATGGTCGAGGCAGGTTCAACCAAAGCAGTTAAAAGAGAATTAGTTGGTGAGCTCACGAGGAACAGTATGCAGGGTTATTTGCGTTGAAAGTGGTCGTTCACTAACCACATCGTTAACAGGTCTTTAATGAGCTGCTGTACTTGGAGTAACCTTAGCCTTATCTTCACAGTATGCTCGGTCTTCCTGATGAAGAGGAATGGCCTACAGATGCTCCACTGCCCTACAGCTCCTTTACTGCCAAGCCTCTAAAACCAATTGAAGATTTACTGCCTCAGATTGACTCATTGGGAAAAGACTTACTACTTGTGAGTTTGCCTGTCTGATAATTTAGTGTTTCAGAGATAGTAGGAACTGCAGATGCTGGAGAATCTGAGATAACAAGGTGTAGAGCTGGATGAACACAGCAGGCCAAGCAGCATCAGAGAAGCAGGAACGCTGATGTTTTGGGCCTAGATCCTTCTTCAGAAAATCACAAGTTTTCTGAAGAAGGATCTAGGCCCGAAACATCAGCGTTCCTGCTTCTCTGATGCTGCTTGGCCTGCTGTGTTCATCCAGCTCTACACCTTGTTATCTCTGATAATTTAGTGTTCTGTTTGAATAATAGTAACTTACATTTATCTGGCTGCCTCCTAAACATAGAAAGCAGGATCAGGAGCAGGCCATTCAGCCCTTCCAGATAAGAAAGCTATGCTGCAGGAATGATATAAAACAAAAACAAATGTAACGTCTTGTGGAAATCCCAGAACCTGGGACCTAGACAACTGATGGCATAGCAACCAGTAGTCAAACAATTAAAATCAGGGATGTGCAAGAGATCAGAATTGGAGGAATTCAGATATTTCCGAGGGTTGTGAAGATGTAACAGATTTCAGAGATGGGAAAGAAGTCACAGGAGAATTTGGAAATAAGGAGGAGAATTTTAAAAGTGAGATATTGCTTGTTTGGGTCCTGGTCTAAGCCAATGAGCATAGGACTAATAGGGGAATTCAGACACGAGCAATAAAGTTTTGGATGACCTTACTTTTACTGGGGGCACAATGTAGAAGAGTAACCAGGTTTAAACAAATCGTTGGATATAATCTTCTTTCTAGTTTTACTGTGTACGCCTGATTTCTATTCACTGCCCCCTCCTCAACCATACACATACTCTCAGATGCACACACACACACACACACACCCACGTCCACACCTACGCACTCATGCAAATACACACTCGTTCATTATTACACACATATACGCATACACACACACATGTTCATATACACAAACACATATTCATGGACACACACATATGCACACACTCATACATACACTCGCATATACACATACTCATATATACACACATATAGACATGCACACTCCTACAATCACACACACACTCACATACATACACACATTCATATATACAGATACACACTCATGTACACACATGCACATTCTCATACACGGACAGTCATATACATACACCTACACAGTCACATAGACATGCATACATATTCACATACACACACACATATACACACAGTGATCCTCACAATGATCCACACAGTGATTGCCTTGTGTCATTGATAATAAAGCTCCAGTACAATAAATCATTTTCATTTGAAAACTTTTTTATTGACTTTCCCTCTGCTGTTGGTTATTTAACTCTTGAACTGTCTTCATTTCTTCAGTCTATTCCACTTGCTCCTCCCCTCCCCTCCCCTCAGTGCCATGACATGTCTTCTGTGTTATATATGTCACATAGCCATGTGGTTTTCAAATCCATCACACTTTGAACATGCTCCTCTTCCCCCACTTTTCCTGTATTCAGCTTGTTTAAGTGATTTTAACTGGAAGTAGAGACAACATAACGTTTAGGCGATTAGTGTTCAGCTGCTCTCAGTATCGGTCTGGATTTACAGGAATAACGGTCAATTTGTGGTGGAGAAGAGGAAGAAGGTGTTTTTTTTTGCTTGAGGCAATACTGGTCCAGAATAAAATGCAATAAAAATGGTTGAGTCACCAGGTTAGTGGGATATTGCAGTATCCAGTGCAGCCACTGGAGGACCTTTCTGAGCTACAGAATGAACAGAGCTCTCATGCAGAGGGGACAATGCACAGCAACATTTTAGTTTTCCTTTTAACTTCCTAAACAACAGCCATTAAAACTAAATTAGCCAAAAAAAAAGTTAGAAACAGGGAATTCCAGTACTTCAAAACACAGTGAACACAATTGGGGCAGATTTTCCTCTGTCTCCCTAGTGTAGTTCCCAGTAAGCCAGGCTAAACAGGCCACCAGGCCTTCAGAAGAAGGGTCTAGGCCCGAAACGTCAGCCTTCCTGCTCCTCTGATGCTGCTTGGCCTGCTGTGTTCATCCAGCTCTACACCTTGTTATCTAAAGGGAACCACCTCTTTGACTCCTTAGTACCCATTGCCAATCCAGAATTTTCCCCTGGAAGTAAAGTCAAGTGTTTAGTACATCTGATTTTTTCCCCTTGACATTGCAGCTCGCCAACATAGAACTTCTTCATAGAATCCCTACAGTGTGGAAACAGGCCCTTCAGCCCAACAAAACCACACTGACCCCAGGAGCATCCCACCCTGTACCATTCCCCTATAAACCACCTAATCTACACATCCCTGGACACTATGGGTAATTTAACATAGCCAATCCACCTAGCCTGCACATCTTTGGACTGTGGGAGGAAACTGGTGCACCCAGACAAGGGGAGAATGTGCAGCCTCCACACAGACAGTCACCCTAGGGTGGGATCGAACCCAGGTCCCCGGTGCTGTGAGGCAGCAGTGCTAACCACTGAGCCACCATGCCACCTGGTGGAGGTATTGTATTGGAGGCAAATAAACTAAATATATAATTTCATAATTATGCTCCCAAAAGTTGCACCGAAGCAACAAAATGTGTTTGGGAATGTTGTAAATGTTGTGAAGAAGTTTAAATTTTAACCATCCAAAGGGCGACACATTGGCTCAGTGGTTAGCACTGCTGCCTCACAGCGCCAGGGACCCGGGTTTGATTCCAGCTTCGGGTGACTGTCTGTGTGGAGTTTGAACGTTCCCACTGTATCTGCGTGGGTTTCCTCCGGGTGCTCCGGTTTCCTCCCACAGCCCAAAGATGTGCAGACTAGGTGGATTGGCCGTGCTAAATTGCCCATAGTGTCCACGGATGTGTAGGCTAGGTGGATTAGCCATGGGAAATACAGGGTTACAGGAATAGGGTATGGGTCTGGGTGGGATGCTGTTTGAAGGGGCAGTGTGGACTCGATGGGCCAAATGGCCTGCTTCCACACTGTATGGATTCTGTGAGTGTAATCAGATGTCAGGTAATGGGCCGTGCCCCCAGTTGTTTCAAACGTTTGCAAAACAAAAAGCACCTAATTTCCTAGGTCTCTTGTGATGCAGTCGTAGTGTTGCTGTCTTTGAGCCTGGAGCACGTAGGTTGAAGTTCCATAAACATCTTTGGACAGGTTGATTGTAAAATATCTTATGGGAAAAAAAAGCACAGACTTTTGATTGGGTTAAACCACATGCATACAATCAAAGTTTGTGGTATGCTTCTTTTTCAGGGTGACCCCTGTAGGATAAGACAGGAAAGATGAGGCAGCATCATAAGATGACATTATAGGTCATTAGGGAAGGGGGTGGTGGAGGGTCTGTTAGCTCATTTGGCTGATCACTGGTCTATAATGTAGCATCACACCCATAGCTTGGATTCTGTTCCCACACCAGCTAGTAAGGGTCCCTGCCAAAGTTGCCTTTAGATCCCAAGGCACTAATTGAAGCAAGGCTGGGGTCCCACTCATCATCCACTCACCAGCACCAGAGTAAATTAAGTAATCATTTACCTCAATTTGTGTGACTTTGTGTGGCTGTGGCTATCTTTACAACAATGATTACTATTCAAGTGATATTTCCTTTGCAGTCATGAAAGGCAATTAGTAAACCTTTAGCTCCGCTGGTTCAAAACAACATTACATCTTGTTGAAATAGAAGCAAGAAGTTGCTGGATAAGCTTAGCAGATCTGGCAGCCTCTGTGGAGAGAGAAGCAGAGTTCACATTTCGAGTTTGAGATTTGTTTTCTTCAGAACTTTGACACTCTGGAAAGTCATAATTTTGGATTTGAAATGTGTTTTTCTCTCTCCACAGATGCTGCCAGACATGCTGAGTTTGTCCAGCACTTCCTGTATTTATTTCCGATCACCAGCATCCACGTTGTTTTGCTTCCAATATATTGTACTGCTTTTGTTAACTAAAGTATTTTCTATATCACCTATGAGAGGAAAGTGTTTTCTTAATGTTTAGCCTTTGTTATGGTTTGCCAATTTTAACCACTTTTGCTTTACTTTCCCACTTATCTTTCAGAAATGCCTTCATTTCAATCCGGATCAAAGAGCATCCACCTACGAGGCACTTGCCCATCCTTATTTTAGTGAACCGCCCGAACATTTTGAGGTCAGCAGTCACGAATGAGTAGGAGAACACTTTGTGTTGAACAAAATGTAGACTCATTTCTAATTAATATCCACACTGAGTACAGAATTAAAATGGAGAAGCAGCGTGAATGTAAACTATTATAGGCGCAGAATAGTGAAATAGTTTCCATCTATTTCAGTTTGTGACTATAATTGAAAAGTACATCATCAGATACAAAGCACTTTGAAGCATCCAAAGGTCAAGGAAGGTGCTATATAAATGCAGCTTTTTTTTTAAACACGACTTGTTTTAGATGATGCAAGGTGGTTGTTGAGGTAAAATGTGTTGTCATTATTAGAGTGTTGTCCTTTTTAATCTTCGATTGCCCTGTGGCTTAAGATAAAGTCTGGAGTACATTTCTTTTTGTTATTGGTGCATCAGAACTACCGTTGAGTGACGCTGCAAAAGATTTTTTTAAAACCCTGGAAATAAGTCTGCCGCCGCAACAAAAATGTCACAAGTTACAAACTGCCAGATTTCTGGAGACTTTGTATCGGCCAAATTAAGGACAGGAATCGTTAATATTTTCTTTAAAATGGGTATCAGATATTATTGAAATGTCGAGCTTTCTAAGGCATTTACACTTTGGGGAAAGCGAGTAATGTTACCCCATTTCACACAAAAGCCGTAAATAAATGTAGTTAAATGAAGATTACTTCAGAGTGGAATGGCTTATGGAAAATTAACTGTTACCTGGTCGAGAGACAATTATGTTGTCTTCAGTCCTGTCCTACCTTCATCTGAATCTCCTTGGGCACTTTCAGGGCAGGTTGAAGTGGGGTTTGAGCCCCTTTACTGTACTTGTCAGAAGGTGGAGGGGAATACCAAGCAGCTGTTAGAATGATTAAGTCATATACTGAATTTTAACCCAATGAGAGCCTTGTTTGCAGTGCTAGGGAAACAGGGTGGTGTGAAGCTTTGGATTTAAAATTTAAGAGCCCGTTGGCCTCACTGCAAACAGTCTCAAAGGGTTGGATTAATTATTCATGGTGGACTTTGGGATGAGGTTACAGTAGTGTTCCACTCACAGAGATTTCCTGCAATTTGTAATGATGTTTGTAGCTAATTATCCTCACCAATATACCAGTGTAACATTTTGTCATTTTAGAGTTGTGGATGAAGAGCAAGTTATATGAGCAATATCCCTTAAAGCAGTCCTGGATAAGTCCTTTTTCAAATGTGTAAGATTCTGGATTATCCTTCAGAAGTTATTAGAGGAAATTAGTGAAGATTTGTAATTTCAGTAAAATTGGATGGTGCCATTGTTGCACGTAATCGCTTTACACAGATATTTAATAGCATGTGGAAACATAAATTTTGTGAAATACTAAAGTGAACAGCATCACTGGAGATTGAAATGTGGAACGGAGTTAAAGAGAGCAGGAAGACCCCAAGTTTGATTTCAGCTGGTCTTAGCTGATAGGGCTGTCGGTGGTCTGAGTCTGAGAGAGGAGGACGTCAGTAACAGGAGGACAGAAGCAACCTCTTGCAAAATGACATGCAGTAGACAGTTAGTGATGACGCACTCCTGTGGTGGTGGTGTTGGCAGGAAAGACCTTTTATCAAATAGACCACCAGAGTGCCAGCCGTGCAAAACGTTGAAATGTTTCTTGTGACATATGTGGCAGTCACATCCCATGTAGTGGATAGGTAATGGCAGCGGCATGGAGCAGGGAAGGCCAGATGGGTTAAATCCCAATATATTGCATGTTTTGAACAAATCATACAGTGTATAAACCAATGGAAACATGCTGAGCATGCACTGCAGGACTTGTCAGTGAGCATTGATTCAATTCATCGACTTTTGCAATGTTAAAGCCTTCACACACTTTGAACTTAACACATTTCCCTACATGTTGCAGGTTTATCAAGTCTAGAGTCAGAACAGTAGTGGTAAATGAATCTATGAATGGCTGACACTTTGAAACAAGAAGGGTTGGAAAGTTTCGAAAGCTGCAGTCCAAAACATTGTTTCTAACAGAACTTTAAAGTACATTTTCTTGCTGAAACACTGGTTAGGTGAAGGTAGATACAGATGGAAAAATACGTGAGGATATTATTAGTGAATGTGATTCTGGTGAGTGCACTGACCCTTGAAGCTTTATTATTCTCGTGTGTCTCTAAATTCAAAATCAAAACTTCGAAATCTCCTATTGGCCAGGTCCTCAGCTTGCTCAGTACAAATTCTAACCATCCAAACCACAGGTTGGGGCTCATTTTCTCCTAAAATGGCAGTCAATGTGCAAAGGCTTTAGAGTCCTGTAAGAAGGAAATTTTTTTTTAAACAGGCATTTACTATTGGATATGATGTTCTTCATTTCCCTTCATCTCATCATCATGTGGAAAAATGTGTCAATCTATCACAATGTTTTCTCTAGTTTTTTTCTCTTGGATGTTGTTCTAGCAATTTTACATTAGAACGTTACTTCCAACAAACTTCAGGACAAAAGTGGAAAATACTCTGACATATATTTCTTTTTCCTGGCAGTTAAACATTTGCAGATAACAAGGTATAGAGCTGGATGAACACAGCAGGCCAAGCAGCATCAGTGGAGCAGGAAGGCTGACGTTTCGGGTCTAGACCCTTCTTCAGAAATGGGGGAGGGGAAGGGGATTCTGAAATAAATGGGGAGAAAGGGGGAGGCGGGTAGAAGATGGATAGAGGAGAATATAGGTGGAGAGGAGACAGACAGGTCAAGGAGGCGGGGTTAGAGCCAGTAAAGATGAGTGTAGATGGGGAGTTAGGGTTGGGATAGGTTGGTCCAGGGAGGACGGACAGGTCAAGGAGGCGGGATGAGGCTAGTAGGTAGGAGATGGGGGTGTGGCTTGAGGTGGGAGGAGTGTATAGGTGGGAGGAAAGGTTAGGCAGGCGGTACGAGCTGGGCTGGATTTGGGATGTGGTCAGGGGAGGGGAGATTTTGAAGCTTGTGAAGTCCAAATTGATACCATTGGGCTGCAGGGTTCCCAAGCGGAATATGAGATGCTGTTCCTGCAACCTTCGGGTGGCATCGTTGTGGCAATGCAGGAGGCCCAGGATGGACATGTTGTTCAAGGAGTGAGAGGCGGAGTTGAAATGATTCGCGACTGGGAAGTGCAGTTGTTTATTGCGAACCGAGCGTAGGTGTTCCCCAAAGCTGTCCCCAAGCCTCCGCTTGGTTTTCCTGATGTAGAGGAGGCCACAACGGGAACAGCGGATACAGTATACCATATTAGCAGATGTGCAGGTGAACATCTGTTTGATGTGGAAGGTCTTCTTAGGGCCTGGGATGGGGGTGAGGTGTAGGGACAGGTGTACCACTTCCTGCGGTTGCAGGGAAAAGTACTGGGGGTGGTGGGGCTGGAGGGGAGTGTGGAGTGGACAAGGGAGTCACGGAGAGAGTGGTCCCTCTGGAAAGCAGATAAGGGTGGGGAGGGAAAAATGTCTTTGGTAGTGGGGTCGGATTGCAGATGGCGGAAGTGTCAGAGGATGATGCGTTGTATCCGGAGGTTAGTGGGGTGGAATGTAAGGACGAGGAGGATTCTGTTTTGGTTGTTATTGCGGGTAGGGGGTGTGAGGGATGAGTTGCGGGAAATGCGAGAGACACGGTTGAGGGCGTTTTTGACCACTGTGGAGGGGAAGTTGCGGCCCTTGAAAAACGAGGACATCTGGGATGTCCAGGAGTGGAATGCCTCATCTCGGAACCAGATGTGGTGGAGGCGAAGGAATTGAGAATAGGGGATGGCCTTTTTGCAGGAAGGTGGGTGGGAGGAGGTGTATTCTAGGTAGCTGTGGGAGTCGGTTGGCTTGAAATGGATATCGGTTTCCAGGTGGTTGCCAGAGATGGAGACAGAGAGGTCCAGGAAGGAGAGAGAGTTATTGAAGATGGTCCAGGTGAACTTAAGGTTGGGGTGGAAGGTGTTAGGGAAGTGGATTGAACTGTTCGAGCTCCTTGTGGGAGCATGAGGCGGCGCCGATACAGTCATCAATGTAACAGAGGAAGAGGTGGGGGATAGGGCCAGTGTAGCTTCAGATAAACATTTGTAGACCTTGTCTGGAAGTAACTTCTGAGTAGTGAAACTAATGGATGGAACAGGCAGTTTTAGTGACGAGGAGTCAGTTTGTAACAAAGGTTTCACAAAATTACTTTTGATCCAGCTATAATGAGTTGCAAGAATGTCTCAGGGCTATTTGAGGAAGAGGCTGTGAAAGTAACAGTGTTGGCAGCTGTCCTTTAACATGGGCACACAAGCTTCTGCCTTGGGTCTTTATATGTGACAGCAGATAAATCCATGATCTTACATGGGACAGGATGTCTCACATGGCAGTGAGATCCACAGAGCAGGGATTGTTTCCTTTTCAGTCCTTCTCTTCCTTGTTATTAAGACGTTGAGACTCAAAGCAGCTTAATGGACAAGTTGTCACTATTCTGAATGTTCAGGAGCATGCTCCTCTCAGTCATTGAGGTCAATGCCATGACATTTCAAGGAGAGTTTCACGGTGTCTTTGAAATTATCTCTTTGTTCTTCCCCGGAATGACCTCATCACAAGGGAGATAGTCTTCAGCTGCCTGGATTCTGGCCAGTCAGTGCAGGCCAGTGTTGGAGTTTTCCTCATGGACCAATGAGAAGAAGGACAGTAGAATTTGTTCAATGCTTCTCCTGTTCAAACCGGCGAATGGAATGAAGGCATTATTGATGGACTTACTCTTGAGCTTTATGCGTTGCTGATACTCAGGTAGCGTAGAGGCAGACCATCTTCTTCCTAACCTGAAAGTTCTCAGTTCAAGCCTCAGAGAAAGCAGCCAGCAAAACGAATACCAACAACAGTAGGTTTGGGCAATTCTTAGTGAAAGCCCATTAACATCTTTGTAACTAGGGATGAGTAACAAATACAGTTTTGCCAGTATCCTAAGAATCGTATAAAAATGGACTCAAGGTATAATAGCTTGCTTATGACCTTGCTTCCCAAGCCACTCTTTTACAAGTGAAAGTAAGACATACATTTCTAAACAATTAAAGGGATTGTTTAATGGGTACAGCCAATTCAGACTTTAATAATTGGATGATGTAAAAACCGAAAGAACTGCGGATGTTGTAAATCAGGAACAAA